AGGCAATAAACTGAGTTGACACTGATTAATCGAGGATTAATTACTGAGAACATCTTGTTAATTTGAGTGAAAGGTGTTTACAACTGTACATTAATACCTTGCATCATCGATGTACCTCATTATCCTCACAATGCCACGGTACGTAACCTCAGACAAGAAGCGAAAGCGTGACGACAGCCAGTCGACCGATGCAGATCAGTCGAGCGGATCTGCCAAACCCTCAAAGTCTGGACGATCATTTTGTAAGTCGTGGCTAACGACTTTCACTTGGTTGACATACAATGAGGATTTGCAGATTTTATTGTTTTCAGTAGCTAGTCGTATATTGAATCTTGATTGACCGCCATTTTGCTTTCTTGGACGATCGATATCCAATTTTTTTATGGTCAATAATTAAGTACAGATGAAAAATGTATTCAAATAACTATTGCTATCAACAATATTTTAGTATTTGTGATTAAATTATCTGTCTTGTTTTTAAAAAAATCTTTAGTTTAAAAAAACACTTTTCCCGTGAGGTCACGTGATAACCAAATATGGGATAATAGTCTAGATCCAAATGTTACAACGCGTACACTTGAGCAGACTCATGAATATTAATTAGACCTTTCACTATGTTAACAGATCGTTATTATAACAGAAATAAAAGTTTAAGTCACATTTCCAAAAATGATAAATATGAAAATGACCCCATATGCTGAGAACAAATCCACAGTTATATACATTAGGGGTGTCACGATAAATCGAAATATCGATATATTGCTATTGGTAAGGGAGCGACCATTTGATTTCTATGGGGGGGGGGGGGGGGGGGGCGGAAGTTGTTTTCTCAGCAAACTATTTTTTTCTGAAGCCATTTCTAACAAACTATTTTTTTGTAACATACAGCTGAACAAACTATTCATTTCAGATGGTAATTTTGCAATTTTATTATAGAGTAAAATATGCAATCATATTTCAGCAAATGCAGCCTGTGGTGTATTATAACATGAACAGCTATAGAACACCCGTTATAATAGTCTTTTTCATTCCCTGACATAAATACAGTAGTCCTGTTTGTAGCCTGGTGGAGGACGCGGTAATAGCTGTTTCTTTAGTCCCGGCCCGTATCGGTGGTATACTTCCAAGCCATCGTAACTGTACCAACCTTTGCCTGGCACACACACACATCCCACGAAATGACCCCCATTGCCATACACTAAAGCAAATAGTGTATATACTCGTTCATTCATCTGAATAACATTGGGGTATCTGGTGAGAGGACAATTGTCTATCTCTATGTACACTACTGGTGGGGAATCAATGGTGAACAGTCTTGAAGAGAATGTTCGGACACCAGAACAATTCTCATTGAAGTCTTTACCCTGAAACAGGCATGGTCGAGGATTTAAATAGCAAAATGTGCTGAACTGAAGCCATTAACTTCATATACAGAAATAGCAACAAATAAGAATAAAGTAATGTAATGATGTTGCGCTGAAGGCGGCGGAAAATTTTTACGTTTATAATGCTGGAATAATTCTTTAATTTAATAGATAAATGTTGCAAACTATAAACACATTGGAATTTCATTTCTATGGTTCTCCAGAAGAGGATTAATTACTAGAATGAACTTAGTTTTCTTATTTATTTGAGAAACACTCTGTGTGTTTTGTACTTAATTGTAATATATCCTATTGACGATTTTCCTCATAATTGTTCATATTTAACCTAATTAAATCATATTTCAATTGGTAAAGTAGGTAGTAATATACACAATGGAATAATTATAACGTAACAAACTTACACAAATATATTGATGTGTAAATGTGGAAAGTCTGACTTTTAATGACTGAAGCAAATTTATTTATTTTACAACTGTATATTTGTTCATATTTTATGCGGAGAAGGGTTTACTAAGTTGCAAGAACTTGTCCCCAATACAGTTCTCATTTTGTTCTGTGAATAAAATATGTTTAAACTAAACTAAACTAGCAAATGGATGACATGTCATTCTGCAGTAGTCTGTGTGCAAGCTGATTTATACATGTTCATATACATAATATCAATATATTATGATTAAAGTTTCAATTCTTTTAACGTTGCTCGGAGGATGTAAAGCAAATAATGACAATGTCCTGGGCGATGTACATGTTGGTATGTGAACCCGCAAGGACAACCTTTATCAATTATTTTACGTGCAGCTTGTGTCATTTCTGTATTGTTAGAATGATACTCTAGCAACTGTGCACATCGAAATTTATGACCGAAAGATCCATCCTCGGGTTAAAAATGATGGATTACATTAGGTACTTCTATTCGACAAATAGGTTAATAGAGGATTCATCACGAGTGTTTTTTAATATGGGAAATATCAACCGAGTCTTAAGTTAATCGGTATTTGCCAAGCCTTTGGCGAGGCAAATACCGATTAACGGGACGAGGTTGATATTTCCCATATTAAAAAACACTCGTGATGAATTCTATCTATCATTTTCACATTTTTGCTTCCCAATTAAGGAATAATTACATTAAACATTTACATCAGCAACTTGTCGAAATCTTACGTATAGATCGTGCGTAGTGATACATGTTTTTCATGGCCGTGTAAACCAAAATAAACAACCTCTTAACTCCTTTATGGCATATTCCTTCGCTGAGAAAAAAAGTTCCCCGGATTATTTTAAACAAAATACTTGAACAGACTTTTGTAGAATAATTGAAATAATGTCTCCAACATCAAAGGTATCTATGTTGTTTGTAAACACCTACTCACGTGCACCGGCGAAAAAAGTCCCACTTCCGGTTATCTAATTTGCATATCTAATTTGCATACTTATGTCATTGGGATATGACATACATGTTTTTATGTCATAAGCTTATGTCATGGATAAATGCTTTAGTTAAATGATAAATTGATTTATCATCCAATAGTAGCTTAGCTAGGAGTCCATTGCAATAACATTGAGTTACGAGTTACCGAAGAGAGCTCTGTGCAACTGGACCCTGAAATTATGTCTATTTGCATTGGAGGTTTGAAGCAAGTCATGCAAAAAACATCTTGAATAGCCTTATAAGAGTATTGAACAATATGTCACAATTAAGTTATTTGTCGAATATACGGTTGTGTAACCCATCATTTTGAACCCGAGGATGGATCTTTCAGTCATGTAAATTTATCGATGTTGACACCACCCTTTAATGACGATTGTACGCTAAAGCCTATACCAACCATCCCTAACTTAACAGTTTTGTACGTTTGTCATCATACACAGTATTTCTCGAATTGTACATGTAAATCGCAAGCTCAACTGACGAAGATCATTTCTAGTCAGTTGGCGTCTTGGACACTACGGTAGTAAGGTTATTACAATTTACGTAAGAATTTATTACATATTACCCCAAGTAGAGATTATTACAATTTACGTCAATTTTTATTAAAATTTGCGTATTACAATTTATGTCACGTATTATTACAATTTACGTCAAAATTATTACAATTTGCTGCGAGTATTACAATTTACCTTTTTATTACAATTTACGTCGTAACAACTCTGTGTAGTGACAAGTCAAAATCAGAAACTTATATTGTGAGCAGCAGAGTTATATGGTTACTGTCGCTACTGCTACCCATGTTTGCAACCTTGGTACTAGTCCAGTTTCCCTGATTACCAACATTAAAGCATCATTTAATATGTTATAGACTCACCATAATGATTTAAACTGAAAGGGATTTCACAAATTACTTAGCCACCATTATTAATGTCCTTATTATTCATCAGTTCATGAGTATGGCGTTTTGAAACCTCGCTGGGCATAAACAATACACAGCAAAAGAGTGGAAATGACCAAATTTGTCACAACTGTAGGGATGGGGGTGTGGGAGCATGAAAATAATTACAAATTTGAACATAATGTTGGGACTGGTTATTCATTGTGGGTGAGGAGGTCAAGGCAAAATATAACATGTATTTGGGGGACCAATCTTATGGCAAAATAGTCATAATTTTTTTTTTATAACCTAGGTTTGTCTTCATTTGTGCAACAGTTCTGTGTATGTCTTTTGGATTTACGAAATTAAAAGATACATGTAAACACATCTAATAGTAACTGTTAAACCTTTTGAATAATATTTTATGGAATGCATTATGTTTATAGTCTCTTGCCACTGCAAACACATAAAAAGAGAAAGAAGCCTTTTTTACAGATGATGGTTGTATATGCAATATCTAGTATATTAGATTGTAAATATACTGCTTTTTTAGAAGAGAGACTTTATTAAATTTTTCTCACAACACCTACCAACCTTAACACTTTTTTGCCACATAGTCAAATATATATATTGAGCTGCACAATTTTTTTTGTTAAACCATAGAATCCAAAAGTTTGGCTTTGAAGCTGCTGATTGAATGCAGCTGTTATCATCTCTGTAATACTTATGTGTTCTCTTAGTTTTGTCCATCAGTATAGTCGTGCCAAAAACTTTTGAGTTTGTTTGCCCGAAATTGGCTCTTAGCCTTATTTTCAGTAGATTTTAGTGCTTTTGTGTGGACTAATATTCAGTTGAACCTAATAGACCAAACTTTGTGGCTTAAGTCACAGACTGAGTATGCACCAAGAATTACTCAGAGAATTGCAGTCAACTGTGGTGAGACCTCTTTACTTGGTGCTACATTTCCCAACTTTCAGGAAAATATGTCCTTTACACAACTACTTCACCAGCACTTAATAGTGTTAAATTTTCCATCTGCAAGCAACAAGTTACACTATATGCACTGTTTGAAATAAGAAAAATACCATCAGAACCGACAGACTTGGTGCAGACCCTGACTTAACTCTTAGACCCTTATTTAAGATACTGCAGCTTATACAACGACTTGGCACTTTACTTCAGGCCATTAAGAACCCCTACAGATTTGAAACAACGGGTCCGACACGAGATCCACCTACCACAAGCCTACGTGCAGGCTCTTGTTTCAAACACTGACTACATGTTACATCTGAAACTTCTTGTCTTTCAGAGCTGGCACCAAAACAAGTTCGTGTGAACAGTGTGAAGTGAGTATATGTCAACATGCATGCTACTTTCAGCACAGTCGCTTGATATTTGTGTGCCCACTTAAACATACCAGGAAGAATGTCTGTGACTACCAAGCCTGTTCTTATGTCATCTCTTACTTCACACCAAAGTCTTTTAATGTGCAGCTAATGCAAGGTGATGATCTTTCCTATTTGGCTGGTTGTGATGGTGGTTTGTGACCTTGAAGCCCATGTGTTGATCTGAGCACTGGAGACTGATGAAGTGGGGCATCTGTGTCTGGCCAGGTGAACTGTATGTAGGACATAAGACAGTGATAGGCCAGCCATCAATATCTTGCAAATGAAGTATTAGAATAAACAAGTTGTTTGAAAGTCATAGAAGTTGTGTTGAATATTGCTGTAATTTTGAGTCCTGGATTATTAAGACTTATATATATGCCTTTTTCTGTATATGTTTGTATTATTGGTCTAAATCAGATTTGTTAAATGTTGTCTAATTTCATATTATCTTTAATAAATACCGGTATGTAAGTACAGAGGACACAACTTTAAAATATTTTTCTCATTTTTTTTTATGGATGTTGGAACTAAAACCTTGATCCTTTGTGGCATAGTCTCCATTAACTAAAACTTGATCCATCATAGCATAGTTTCAATGAACTAAAACTTGATCCGTTGTGGCATATTCTCTATGAACTAAAACTTGATCCATCATGGCATAGTTTCCATGAACTTTAACCATTATGGCATAGTATTCATGAACTAAACTTGATTCATTGTGGCTTGGCCTCCATGAACTAAAAGCTGATCCATCATGGCATAGTCTCCATAAACTAAAACTTGATCCATCATAGCAAAGTTTCAAAGAACTTAACCTTGATCCATTGTGGCACAGTCTCCATGAACTAAAACTTGATTCGTTGTGGCATTGTCTCTATGAACTAAAGTTTGATTCATTGTGACATGGTCTCCATGAACTAAAACTTATCCGTTGTGGCATAGTCTCCATGAACTAAAACTTTATTTGTTGTAGCATGGTCTCCATGAACTAAAACTTGATTCGTTGTGGCATTGTCTCTATGAACTAAAGTTTGATTCATTGTGACATGGTCTCCATGAACTAAAACTTATCCGTTGTGGCATAGTCTCCATGAACTAAAACTTGATTCGTTGTGGCATTGTCTCTATGAACTAAAGTTTGATTCATTGTGACATGGTCTCCATGAACTAAAACTTATCCATTGTGGCATAGTCTCCATGAACTAAAACTTTATTTGTTGTAGCATGGTCTCCATGAACTAAAACTTGATTCGTTGTGGCATTGTCTCTATGAACTAAAGTTTGATTCATTGTGACATGGTCTCCATGAACTAAAACTTATCCATTGTGGCATAGTCTCCATGAACTAAAACTTTATTTGTCGTAGCATGGTCTCCATGAACTAAAACTTGATTCGTTGTGGCATTTTCTCTATGAACTAAAGTTTGATTCATTGTGACATGGTCTCCATGAACTAAAACTTATCCGTTGTGGCATAGTCTCCATGAACTAAAACTTTATTTGTTGTAGCATGGTCTCCATGAACTAAAACTTGATCCATCATAGCATAGTTTCCATCAACCAAAACTTGATCCCTTTTGGTATGGCCTCCATGAACTAAACCTTGATCCATCATAGCATAGTTTCCATGAACTAAAACTTGATTGTTGTGGCGTAGTCTCCATGAACTAAACCTTGATCCATTGTGGCATAGTCTCCGTGAACTAAAACTTGATCCATTGTGGCAAAGTCTGCATGAGCTAAAACTGGATAAACTAAAACTTGATCTATCATATCATAGTTTATATTAACTGACACATGAAACTACATAAAGGATCTCTTCCCTTTCAATACCTGATATGCTGATATTAAAGTATTTTTTGGATGACTGCTAATGTTTATCAGCTAACCAGTGTGTTTTTCAGTATTGTGTTTGATTCCTAGGCTAAACACCCATCTCAAGCTGACAGGCCAGAGTGTAACAGAAATACATACTGATTAAAGTGGTGCATGAGGGCATGCATGGCCAAGTCGTCTGAGGCGTGGCGATTCCCTGTGCAGAGTTGCGTCCCTTGGCTACGCCAGAAACCTGTAATTGTGGGTTCGAATCCTGGTTCCCCCCCGATTATGTTTCTAGGTTTGTCAGCACCATACCCGTGCTCGTTGGTTTCACCGAAGTGGTAAATGTCTGAGACCTGCATCACTTCAGGCTTTCCTCCTACGTTAAGCTGACACACTGGTATATAACTGGAATACTGTTAAAGGCGGCCTTAAACCCAACTCACTCACTCACTCACCCAAAGTGGTATTATAGCTCGCCTCACAGTGTTATGATTCAAATGATTGTGTTACTGCTCCTGCATCCTGTGTAGCAACTTACTTGACTGATGTATTACATATAAAGTGTTGACACCATGCTTTCCATCCAGCCCTGGAGTAATCCTCACCAATCTACAGAAGCGTGGAGGTCTGGATGAGGCGAAATATACACAGGTATGTCAACACTGTTGAATTGAGATGTCACCATGATATTATCCTTGATTGAGGGACAGTTATCCTGTCTATTCAGTTTCTATTATGATAACTACCCTGGACCCATTTGTGACCATTATTACGGGTCTGGTTAGAATGACATTTTGCTCAAAATATAAATCACGTTCACTAATGATGTCTGTGTGTCAATCACAATTACAATAGCAAGAGTTGACATCTGTAACACATCAGACTATTTATACTTTTGATTGATATTATAAAATTAAAATTCTATGTACCCGGTTTTGTCACCTTTTGTAAATGCCTTACCAATCATTTGAGGACCGACCATTTAATAGTGTTTTTTGGGGAGCCAGGAATTCAAAAATAAAATTGTTTAAGAAAATGCTGAAAGAATAATTTGGCCTCAGGTTTTTCGGATAAGAACAGCTGGATAAGAACAGCTTTTATGTCAGAATAACTGGGTTTTTTTTAAATGAAGTAATTTTGCCAGTAGTGATTCTGATGATACTACCAATGTTGATCCGTTTATCTCATCAGTGGTTGTGGAAGGAAATTTTACTCAAGTACATCTTATTCGTTTTTTGATGGTAAGAAAATATGGCAAGTGCTGCCAACCACCTGTGGATCGATTTTATGCCTTGAGAGTAGAAAGTTCGTGGTTCGATCCAAAAGACGTTAAAAGATGCTACGTATTTGTTGTGACCCTACCTGGCACTCGGCATTAAGTGGATAAAACAAGGACTTGTTGGCCCGGAGTTGGTATAAGGTGTCTGCGGAGTTGGTATAAGGTGTCTGCGTAGGGTATCCTTGTTACACTGGAGCATGGTATCAGAGTGGGCTAGTTAGCATTATAAAACCAGCATTAAGTCCGGACTGGTACAATTACATGAGCATGCACCATCACACACAGACACACCACTACATAAGCGAAAGAATCTTGAATGCAACATTAAACCCAATTTCGGTCACCACAATCAGATGAACATTGTCAATAAGGAATGATGAATCATGATGTGATACCTTATGTAAATAATACAAGACTGAAACACCAGATGTTATTGATAATATGATGCTGAACGTGTTGAAATGGATTTCTACTTCTCCTGTTCTATTTACAGTTCCTTGAAAGGTCAAAGGAAACCCATGCACTGGGACGCCCGGGAAATCCAGATGAGGTTGCCAAAACCATTGCCTTTGTTGCTTCCGATGATGCCTCTTTCATGACAGGGGCACAGGTGCCCTGTGATGGCGGGAGGCATGCAATGTGCCCAAGATAAACCTACTGAAGTTGTACTGTGATGTTTTATGTTCAGTGGAAAAATGCTTTTAACTTTATCTTTAATCATACCACATGATTCTACATGTGGTAATTAATCCTGCAATGTAGTTCATGAGGCATTATCTTCTGACTGAATGGCATACATGTATATACAAGTATACTGTGTCTGAGTGGGGTATCCATGTTAAGCTGCAGCATTAATATTGTATCTCAGAAGGTTTGCACTATCAAACTGACACAAGTCTGGACTGATACAAGGAACTTCACATCACATTGTTATGTAAGTGCAGTAATCTTGAACATATTGTTAAAGCCTGTTTCACCTCACCTCCTCTACAAGTCAACCTTTATTTTGTGAAATGATTATATATTTATTTTTTAAACATACCATATGTTTCTACATGTGGTAATTTATCCTGCAATGTAATTCATGACACATGACTGTGTGACTGTAGCATGGCTGGGGATCATCTGAATGTTTAAGAAGGAAGGAAGACTGTATTTTCTACCACTTGTCATGATAGAATAAAAAGATAATCTGATTAGTTGGAGCTTCATTGTTGCAGTATGTTATACAGAGAAATATTCATTTGTGATTACCGGTATGCTTCACAATGCTTCCGAAGTATTTCTGATTTAAATATGCAATAAACTGTCTTTGGAAAGTGTTATTTTATTGATTTGTTGGAGAATGTCAAGAGTGGAATTTTCAAATGTACAAAAAATGTATTTCTAAGAAAAGAAAACTTCAAGAGATGAATGATCAGTTGATTTACTTTTTTGTAAATTAACAGATCGTTCCTAGTCATCAAAGGATTAACAGAAAATTCATTGATTGATTAATCACTGTTATCTTGCACAGTGGATATGTCAAAAGTGAGTGTTTACATGTCTAGGTTTACTAAAACAAAGGGAATACACTCATATCATGGCATGAAGTGCCGATGTAAAAACAGGATCCTACTATTTAATGTCCGGGGACGCCCGGGAACGTCCGGGAGCGTCCGGGAGCTTTCATCAGACTTCCGGTAGTTTGAAAATACAGTGCACTCAATAAAACATGTCTTTCTCAGTTTGGTTAGATCGTAAGAATATCAACTGGCGTACAAATAAATAGAACACACAGCAAAATAAAAACAAATATTGAACGGGCCATAAAGGTTTTGTTCTTTATCCAACAAGGCGGACGTAAAAGTAATTACAGACAATGTAAAAAATGTGTGTTTGTTTGTTGTTTAATGCCACAGTCAGCAATATTCCAGCTATATGACGCCGGTCTGTAAATAATCGAGTCTGGACCAGACAATCCAATCAACCAAATCAACGAACCTGACCACCCGATTCGTACAAGCATAGTCGCCTCTTACCACAAGCATGGGTTGCTGAAGACTATTTCTCACCCAGATCTTCACGGGACGTATGTTAAGTTTGTTTGTTGTTTTTTTCCCCACTCAACAATATTCCAGCTATGGGGGGCAGTCTGTAAATAATCATGTCTGGACTAGACAATCCAGTGATTGACATCATGAGCATCGATCCATGCAATTGGGATACGATGACATGCATCAACCAAGTCAGCGAGCCTCACCACCCGATCCCGTTAGTCGCCTCTTACCACAAGCATAGTCGCCTCTTACCACGAGCATAGTCGCCTCTCACGGCAAGCATGGGTTTCTAACCTGCGTACTTATTTACAAATTAATACATAAGATGTTTAATAAATAATAATCAATGTTCATCATATCTATCTGACTTACTTCCTACTTTCCTACAGTACATGAATTATTTTGTTGAAAATACTGCTTTCTTAGAGCGAACGTCTTTGCTGTTTTGAATCCTCTTTCGTTGTTTACGTTTTCGGGCTGTCTGTGGTGTCTTGGGGATGTTGAGGCGACCATCCCACGAAACAGTAATGCTTTGTTGACATCTGAGGAACTTCCGAAAATGTCTGTCTTTCTCATGTTGGCTTTTTGATGTCCAGCAGGCATTAGACAATTTAAAGCCTGCCATCCACGTGTTAGTTGGTAGTTGCCTTTGTCGTAGAGGGCAGCGGCATGTCAGCATACTGGATTTTTACAATTGTGTGAAGTTTGTCAGTTAAATCCGGCATTTTCAATGATTTCCAATTGGTACCTAATTTGATGATGTTGTTCATGCTCTCACAGGCATTGTTAGTCCAATGTAACGGAACTGCTTTTGGTCTTTCTTTTGAAGGAAGGAAAATGTCAGTTTTTATAGTTTAAATGACTTTAGAAAGGTAGGAATTGGAATCGGGAACAGTTGTTGAAACAAAGTCTTCTAGTTATCCCCCGCCCCGACGAAGTTGGTGGGGGATATAGAAATGGGTTCTGTCCGTGTGTATGTGTGTGTGTGTGTGTGCGTGTGTGTGTGCGTGCGTGCGTGTGTGTGTGTGTGTGCGTGTGTGTGTGCGTGTGTGTGTGTGCGTGCGTGTGTGCGTCCCGAAATCGTTTCCGGAGCATAACTCATAAACCGTTAAATATTTCTCTACGAAACTTTGCATGTCTATCAGACTCATGCTGAACTGGTGCCTTTTGCTATTTAGGAATTTTATAAATTTTTATTTTTTACGTTTCCATGGCAACAAGTTGGACTTAGGTTCTATAAGGGTGCTGTTCGTTTCTGGAGCATAACTCAAAAACCATTAAATAATTTCTTACAAAACTTTGCATGTTTACCAGACACATACTGAACTGGTGCCTTTTGCTATTTAGGAGTTTTATACATTTTTATGTTTTACGTTTCCATGGCAACAAGATGGACTTAGGTTCTATAAGGGTGGTGTTCGTTTCCGGAGCATAACTCAAAAACTGTTAAATCCTTTCTTACAAAACTTTACATGTCTACTAGGCACATACTGAACTGGTGCCTTTTGCTATTTCGGAATTTTATAAATTTTTATTTTTTACGTTTCCATTGCAACAAGTTGGACTTAGGTTCTATAGGGTAGGGTTTGATTCCGGAGCATAACTCAAAACCCATTCAATACTTTCCAACAAAAACTGTGCATGTTTACCAGACACATACTGGACTGGTGCCTCTTGCTATTTAGGAATTTTAGAAATTTCTATTTTTCACGTTTCCATGGCAATAAGTTGGACTAAGGTTCTACAGGGGTGGTGTTCGTTTCCAGAGTGTAACTCAAAAACCCTTAAATACTTTCTTACAAAACTTTGCATGTCTACCAGGCACATACTGAAATGGTGCCTTTTGATATATAGCACTTTTAGAAATTGTTATTGTTTATGTTTCCATGACATTAAGTTGGATTTAAGTTTTAATATAGGATTGGTTTACTTAAGTAGTATAACAAATAAACTGTTAAATATTTCCTTGCCAAACATTGCATGTCTATATATAAAGCGCATACTGAACTAGTGCCATTTGATATTAAGGAGTTTTAGAAATGTTTATTTTAGAATTTCCATTGCAGCTATTTTGACATGGGCTAAGAGAAATGTTGGGTCAGTTACCTGGTTTGGGACCATAACGTGTTAAAATGGGCGGGGGATATAGATGACTTTGTCAACTATACGCTTGTTCCATTTGATTTAGTTCCAACTGATAGGAGTCATTGCTATTCACCCGTCGGGAGAGTCCAAAAGGTTTCTGATGAATGAGTCGTATCTGCTGATTTGAAGCGCCAACCTGATGTCGAAGGTGTCTTTTTATATTTTGCTCTATGTGTCGTTCACATAAAATGTGTGTGGAAGCGGGGAAACAGTTTCGGAGGGCCTTTATCAAGCCCCTTTCTTCATCAGATCCAATTACCAGTTGTTTCCCTTGTGTGTGAGTCCCCCCAAGATTAGAATCTAGAAGTGCCTGGATATATGAACAAAATCTGAAATATGTTAGGTATGACCCATCCCAGTGACGATAAAGGGGACCTAGCATTATTGGATGGGTCTCTGTACCTTTTCTGTATAAGTTCGGATGTTGAAACACTAATAAAGTCACAAAACATGCCCCTAAATTGAACGTCCTGTCAACTCCAACTACAACTGGCTTTTCTGAGACACTTTTACAGAACTGTTTTAATTCCTTAATTTGATCCTGTGTGTTTAAAATTACTGACGGCGGTTTTCCTTTACACTGAATAATCTCTTGAATGAACTCGGTGTAAATCGCGTTAATGATGCTGATGAGGTCGTCTGCGGTGTTCTGTCGCTTGGTACCCTTGTCTTTTCTCACTGACGGTTTTAAATTTTGTACTTGTTTCAGATCTCTTGCAGCTGATTGTTCTCCCTGCCGCAGGTGCTTATTGTATACATCTCGTGCAGGCTGTGTCTTCACCTCTTCTCTTATCTGCTCGATGACGGTGTCGGGGCGTCCTCACAAACTCGGCGGTAGACTTTTTTGAATTTCCGTGAATGGCACAGGACTGTAAAATTGAAATAAAACGATTTGAGCGAACCTGTAATGTTAACTCTCAGCAGCATGAGTATACAGCTTGGATTCTATAATTCACAGGGTGGTCAGACTGACGTCAATGAACGCATACAGATCGTTTGATCGGGGGAAAACAGAAGCGCCTTTGAGCAGTTATTGACTGGAAGACTACTATTTAGAATATTTAGATTTTAATTTCATTCTTGACAAAATTATTACAGAGATTTGCAACCTTTATACACACGAAATAGGCCTACCTCGGGAAACGTGCCAGTGTATTCGACAATAACTACTTGCGGATGAACTGGAGTGTGGCCGGTGGGAAACGGTTCAATCCAAGTCACCCGCTTGTGATAGTCCGCACATCGTTTCAGTGTGTTATAATAGCGTTTAACAATTAGGACTTCGCTATTTGGCGGCTGAATTGCCATCGGTACTCTCATCCCTTTTTTCATTACACAATAAAATCCTTCCTTTTGCTCTAAGTATGTAAATTTGCCATTGACAAAGTGATAAAACTGTTTCTTTGTCGACCCCTTTCCCCACACACCACAATCATCTACAAATTTACTTCGACCGGACATGGATCTGCGGGATATATTCTGAGAGTTGTCACAGATAAATGTTTCGTTTTCTTTTATTCCTACAGAAATCTCTGACTGAATGTTTTTCGCATTGATTATTGTCTGAAACGACTCCGGGACGTCCATGAACCCTCCACTGTTGGATAGGGAACCACGGACACTTGGTGATGAATCCTGAAGGGACAGCTCATCTTTACTTGGAGTGACAGATGAATCCTCCATGGTGGACACTTAGAGGTGCTATTATTTCGACTGCTGTGTGGTTGACTGTATGCTGAAACAATCATATCATATAAATGAGAGAGATGTCCCTGACATAAGCCACGCGTACGTATGACCAGACAATCCAGAGATTAATATCATGAGCATCGATCCATGCAATTGGGATCGATGACATGCATCAACCAAGTCAGCGAAATTGGCCACCCGATCCCGTTAGTCGCATCTTACGACAAGCATAGTCGCAAGCATGGGTTGTTGAAGACCTAGTCTTCCCCGGATTTGCACGGGTGCGAATTAAATTTAAATAGAAATGTTATGAATAGAATTCGTCACGTGTGTTAATATGAATGTAAAATATGAACCTCGTCTGAGACATTATCGTAGATTCGTATTGAAAGCAAAAAGTGACGAATTCTCTCTCTATATATAAACTCGAAACTAGATGAAAGATG